AACATGACCAGCCTCAAAGGACCCACAGCTCCTTCCTGCTCCTGTAATCCATGTAACATCATATCGCATGACCCCTAACACGTCATCCTAGGCAAGCACTGTAGGACTGTTAGTGTAAAACCTTCTGCCTATGTAACATGTTTTCTCTCCTTATAATACAAAATAATGAGCCTCTACTTACAAGAAATTACTTTAGTTCGTATTTCTCTGTAAATAATCCTCTTGTCACAACAATGACATTTATTTTTCCCACAGGCTTTTGTTTGCTTGTTTGTTTGTTACCAGTAGTCCACCATACTACTTATTTTTCTAGAAGACAGGGCCTGGGATCACCAACAAAGCAGCAGATGAAAAAAGAAAATATTGTTTTAGGTTATTACATTTTAAAGCACATGTGAATTAAAAATGTAATTTAAGATAAAAATTTATTGAATATTTATGAAACAGCAGGGTCTGAAAGTTGAAAGAAAAAAAAACTATGAGAAAGGAGGAGGAGATCTAACAAAAAGGAAACCAACAAGAGAGGTGTGCGACATAGTGGCCATGAGAACAGAGCAGAGATCAGAAGCAGGAAATTGACCAACAAGGCAGGGAGATGGGGACTGATAGAAGGGGGGAGGGAAGGAAGATGAATAAAAACAAGACAAAACAAAAAATATATATTGAAATTAGCTTCTCAACATCACATGATACATACATATACATATAAATATATGGAAATGTAATTTTTTGCATGATAACCTGAACTTTAAAATAACAAAGTTAAACAAAATATCGTGCATTTTTTAACACTTTAAAAATAACTGTTACACATCAGAATTCTTAAATCATTTTCCAAAGAATACCACTTTTTCAGATTTTCGGGATGTTAATTGCCCACAAGAAGGGACTATGTCCAATCAAATGTTTGGGAAAATGTTGGGTTGAGGTTAGGCAGTTTTAAAGAACCGTCCCTGAGAGCACACTGGCTGGCTGTCTCTCAGAAACCCTCAGCGCAGAAAAGGCACCCTAACAGAGCCGCGGAAGCCAGACAAAGTAACAGGGAAAGGGGTCAGAAGCCCTGTGCTATTGAGAGGCTAAGGAAGATACTTGAGGATACTTGTGGTTTGGGGAGAACAGCAAGAGACTCTAAGAACAGAACTCCTTAACCATCCGATGTGTGTGGAGTCTCTTCAGAGATATTTTTAACAAGGGTCACCTGTTAAACTTTTGATGCGACGACTTTCAAAATAAAAGTTTGCAGATTAGGTGAACCAAATCAAAAGACTCGCTTGCTCCGATGTTCTGATGACCTCTTGTGGTTCAAAAGCAAAATGGCCCCTTGAGAAACTGCTTCCGACACCCTGGGCAGAAAGAAAGATTTGGTGCTTCGACTCCATGTCCTGTAACTTATCCTTAGGAGTCTATTTCTGGTGTGCTTTTTACGAAGCGCTTACTCTATATTCCGGTAGAGGTTCAGTTTTTACAAAATGTATCCATTGCTCCAGTGACCAAAAAAGAAAAAGGAGGGAAGTCTGGCGGCACAGCCTTCAGCCCCAGCACTCAGGGTGCAGAGGCAGGAAACGCATGAGTTTGAAGCCAGGCTGGGCTGCAAGACTGTCTCAAAGTAAATGAAGCAGAGTAAAACAAACCAGAGGAGGAACATCTTTCTCAGGTAACTCATAGAATTCAGACTCTGGGTTAAATTAAACAGAAATGTCCTTATGTATTTGAATTAAACACACATTTCGGAATTTTGAACATTTTGCTTTGTATTTATCAACAGATGAGTATTTTATCTGTTGATAGAGGATGATTTCTCTCTTCTCATCAGATTGAGCTGTCTTGCCAGAGTCACGTCTTCTAATAAGTCATGCAGTAGTCTCACTGAAGAGCACAGAGCGATCTTGAGGAAAGGCATGAACTAAGTCAAGCCCAGCTTTCATTAATATACAAGCAAACAAAAAAAACAGTATTTTGTTCAAGTACAAAAGGTGAACACTAGGTCAGGCGTCCCTGCAATAACCGACAGGGCAGGTTTAACCACGAACCCACATGAAAGTCTAATCTCTTCAAAAGAAATCGTTAAAGCACTCAGACCTTCAGTTTAGGAGGGGGCTGGTATGATCAAAATACATTGTATAAATGTATAAAGTTCCCAAAGAACAAAAAGATTAAATAATATAAGAAGTCTTTTAACTCTTAAAATTATCCAAAACTGACTATTTTGGATAAGTTGGTCTTGCTTCCAACCTCAGAAGGGTGAGTATTCGTGACGCGGCCTGGAAAGCCAATGACCTGCTGAGAGATCAAAGTGTCCACTGAACCAGGAGCGCCCTGCGCCCCGCCTGCTGGCTATGGCAAGTATTTGAAGCCGAAGTCCAGGGAGGGAGCTTAGATTGCCTGCTGATGTTTCGGTACTGAATACAAGCACGGGTGTCCTGGATTTGCTCACTGGAATCCACTGGAATCAAGTTGAGACCCTTCCTTGAAGAAGAATATACAAAAGTTAAGTGTGTGTGGCTGTGGAAGTCCATGTTTCAGCAGAGCATTTCCCAGAAACGGATTGTGGCTGTTTGTTCTGGTTTTGGTGTTTTGGTTTTGGTGTTTGGTTTTAAAAGGGGGGGGGGGGTAATTAAGGCAAGGCAACTGTACATTCATTTCTTTTTTTATTGTTTAGTTTATTCACTTTGTATCCCAGCTGTAGCCTCCTCCCCCACTCCCTCCCAATTCCACCCTCCCTCCCTCTTCTCCTCCCATGCCCCTCCCCCAGTCCACTGATAGGGGAGGTCCTCCTCCCCTTTCATCTGATCCTAGCCTATCAGGTCTCCTCAGGACTGGCTGCATTGTCTTCCTCTGTGCCCTGGTAAGGCTGCCCCCCCCTCAGGGGGAGGTGATCAAAGAGCCAGCCACTGAGTTCAAGTCAGTGATGGTCCCTAGTGTATTCATTTCTAGAAGGGCTGAGCACATCTGCTCAAGAAACTGACCTCAGCGTCCAGAGGGGAATGCGCATGCGCACACTGCGTAGCCCGCTGCGCTCCTGTACTCTGTACAGCGCACTGCGGGGTGGGGTGGGGGGTTCACTGGCGTTATGACAATAATAATGAACGCACATCAGTTTCTTTATGCAGTCATTTGTTGATGCATAGCACCGCAGTGAACACGGAAGCATAAATATCCTTTCCGACGTCCACTCCTGCAGCTGGAACTGAGAACAGTTCTCAGTTGCGGAACTGAGAACGCAAACAGTGTTTGCATCTGAGAAGCTGAATTCTTAGAAACAAAGGGTAGGACCACCAGGGGCGGGGGTGGGGAGGGGCTGTGGAGACGGTGGTCACCGGGGACACGCTTTTCGTGGTAAGGTAAATAGTTCCGGGGTGCTCACGTACATGTGGCGATTAGACTTAATAACAGCATATGCTTGAAATAAAGGTAGAACAACGGCAGCATGTGTCTGGCCTTCATTTGCGCTACAGAATGTGAACATTTTTGTGGTGCTTTTGTTTTGCTGGTTCAGATAAAAGCTTTTAAATACAGTGATTGGAGAGGAGGCTCAGAATTTAAGACCATTCCCTGCCCTTGCAGAGGACTGTGATTCAGTTTCCTGCGTCCACATCAGGTGGTTCACAGCTGCCTGCACGTCTAGCTCTGGGGGATCTGATGTCTCTCCTGGCCTACTTAGGTGCCTGCACACACTCGGCAGACATTTATACATGAATATGTATTCCTTTTCCTGTGAATATAATCATACACATTTATACACATACTAGTATGTATAAATACTAAAAGAAAATGTCTATTTTTCTTATTTTTCATGGGATAAATACTCCTAGCAGAGTGGGTCAAGAAGAGATACATGGGAGAAAACGTTTAGATGAAACGTTTCCCTGTTGAGTTGACAGTACGGCTCCTTGGTAGAGTTCGCCAGGCATGTTCCAGGGCCTGATTCAATATATAACACTGAAAAAATAAAAAAATAAAAAAAAGAAGAATGCCTGAAAAGAGAATCACAATACAAATGAAATAGATATAATAACCTCAAGCAAAGTGAAACAAAATAAAATATATTATTATTATTTGTAAATTTCCATCCTTTTAACTGTATAAGATGATAACATAAGCCATTTCTAGCTTATGAAAATGACAGATAAGTTCACATGATTCATGATAACAACACTCGGGAATTTTCAGATGGTGGAACTGTGGGAGAGCTGAATATAAGAAGAACCTCGGTTTCCCGTCAGTTGCAGGCATTCAGACACGGGCACCATTTAAGGCTAAGCTTGATTCTCTGTGGTTTGAAAAACTATAGGACAGTTTACATTGATTAGATTTTCTAATCCTGGTCAGTTTGCAAATACTGAGGTTGCCCAGAGAAGTTCTCATACTTTAACTCTGAGCGATTGACAGAATACACAGGAAACCCTACCCGAGGAAGCCACGCTGAGGATAGTTGATAGTTTGTGAGCTAAGTATATTGGGAGAACAAGTCATTTTTTTGGAGCATGAAAGCCAGCCAGTAAGTGCCCACATCACTGATATCTGCTCTGAGGCCAGCTGTGCTCTTAGAGCTGCCTCGTGTCTTCTGAAATGTGGTAAGTTACCAGTGACTTGGGCAGTCACAGCATCCATCTCAAAGTAACCACGTGAAAAAAGAAAGTAAAGAGCACACCATCATCTGCCAAATTATGCAAAGGTAGAGGTTTATTATCACGGAGTCGCACGGTTCTGATGCTATACTGGTTAAGAAATAGCTGGCAGACGGGCATGGTGGCGCACGCCTTTAATCTCAGCACTTGGGAGGCAGAGGCAGGTGGATCTCTGTGAGTTCGAGGCCAGCCTGGTCTACAAAGCAAGTCTAAGACAGCCAGGACTACATACAGAGAAACCCTGTCTCCAAAAACCAAAAGCAGAAAAGAACGGAGGGAAAGGAAGGGAAGGGAAGGGAAGGGAAGGGAAGGGAAGGGAAGGGAAGGG